GAACTGGGGGGCACGGGGGGTGGCATGAGGGGGGCAGGGTCCTGGCCGTGCCCCAGGGCTGAGGGGGGGGCTGGGGGTGGTCCCCACTCACCGTCTCCACGTGGGGCAGCTCGTCCAGGCGCGTGGCCAGGCTCTGCAGCTGCGCGTAGTACCAGACCTTCTCCTTCTCCTCCTTCTCGATCTCCCCCAGCAGGAAGCACCTGGGGAGGGGGGACCCCGTCAGCTCAGCTCCCAGCACCCCCAGCCCCCTGCACCCCCCAGGCCATCACCTCTCCCGGTCCAGCTCCTCCAGCATGCGCAGGGTGGCCCTGCCCAGGTCCGTGGGGCCGTCCCGGTGGGATGGGGGGGCCGGGGGACTCTCCTCGGGGCCGCGCCCGGAGCTCGTCACCTCCGGGGCGAACTTGAGGTTGTAGAGGCTGGTGATGTCCATCTGCAGGGCTGGGCACGGGGACAGCGGCGTCAGGGTGGGCTTGGCGGGGACCCCCCTCCCCACCCCGCCCGGGCACCCACCTTTGAGCTGGTCCAGCACCTCCGTTTGCCCCGAGGACACCATGACTCGGGCCTCCTGCTCCAGCTTGCCCTGGAGATGCTTCAGGACCTCCTAAAACAGGGATGGAGCTGTTGAAGAGGTGGGGAGGGGGATGTGGAGGGAAAGGCCTCCCTGCAGCCCCAGCTCGGGGTCCTCGCCCCCCCACCGCTGGGGCCGTGCCCACCTTCATGTCCGAGGTCTCATTCTCCAGCTTGGAGAGGTGGTTGGAGTTGTCCTCCAGCTCCCGCCGGAGGTGACTGTTCTCCTTCTTCAGCGCCTCCACCTGCCGCACCAGCTGGTCGTACGAGGCGATGGAGCCGGACATCTTCACCCCCTCCAGCGCCTGCGGGGGGGGTGGGGGTGGGCAGCACGCCGAGGGGCTCCCCCAGCACCCTCACAGCCCCCCCAGCACCCACCATCCACCTGGGACCACAGCACAGCACGGGGGACCCCACCACCCACAACCCCCCCCCGCAGTGCACTGAGAGAGCTGGTGCCCCCCCAAAGCCTCCCAGAGGGTCGTCCCCGCACGGGGTGGGGGTCCAGCCCCGTCCCCCCCAGCCCCCGCCAGCCCCCGCCTGGTTCCCACCCTCGGCAGAGCTCAGCTCTCCGCTCCCTTTGTCTCTCTTTTGTCTTCTCCCGCTCCCGACCTTCTCCCGCTCCGCTCCCTCCCGCACCGGGGGCAGCCCCGGCCCCCCCGCAGCCCCCTCGCCCCGGTCGGCTTCCCCCCCAGGCACCCCCGGCCCCCCTGTGCCCCCTCAGCCCTCCCCAGCCCCCCAAACCTCCTCTTGCCGCAGCGCCCACGGACCCCCCTCGCACCCGCCGTGGGGGGGACAGGGCAGGGGTGGGGGGGACCCTCGTCACCCCCCGGCGGGTCGGGCTGGCGGTGGTTCGTCAGCACCACGTGTGTGCAGGGGGAGCTTCGAGGGGGGGAGCACAGCTGGGGGGTCCCCTTGTCCCCACTGCACCCCCTGCTCCCCTCTCCCCACCCCGCTCCCGCAGCAGGGTCAGGGACAGCAGCGATCACCCCCCCCGGCACTGCCACCCCCAAATCTACCCCACGGTGACCCCTCTGCCTCCACGAGCCCTTTCTGGGGGTCCCAGCACGCCCCTCGCCAGCACAGAGGCCCCACCAGGCAGGGCTGGGACCCAACACCCCCCAAGGCCCCATCGATGTCCTTCCCACCCCACACCGGGGGGGGGACACCCCATCCTGCCCCGGGGGTCCTGCTGTGGGGTCTCTGTCCCCCCCCACTCCCACCACCCGGCTCTGCCAAGGGAGACAAAGACTCCCCCAGTGCCAACCCCCCCCAGCTGCTGAAAATACCTCCCGGGAGAGGAAATAACCCCGGGAGGGGGGGCTGGAGTGGGAGCAGAGGAAGGGCCGGGGCTGGGATGAGGGATCGGGAATCCAGGATGGACGATGAGGGAGGACACAGGGTGAGGGCTGAGGGATGCGGGGTGTGGAATGCGGGATGGAGGATGAGGGATGGATCCAGGGTATGGAGTATGAGATGTAGGATGCAGGGTGAGGGATGCAGGATGCAGGGTGAGGGATGCAGGATGCAGCGTCAGGGATGTGGGATGTGGGATATGGAATGCAGGGTGACTGATGCAGGAGAGGGGACGTGGGATACTGGATGGGGGATGCGGGATACGGGATGCGGGACGAGCACGGCCTCCCGTTGCTGCGGTGACGGCGATGGAGGCACAGGCGGTTCCCGGCTTTTCCCGAGCACCCAGACACGGAGGGGGGTTGGGGGTTCAGCCCTGCCGGGGGATGGGAACCGGGGGCTTCCTCTTCTCCAGGGGGACACAGGTCAGGGCTGGGACATTCGGGGGTTGATGGTGGGGGGAGATCTGAGCTCTACCCCCCCCCGGTCCCCGGCAGGGCCGGTCTCGGCTCCCCGCCGAGCGCAGCGGCCGCAGCGGCGCCGGGATCCGCAGCCTGCGGGGAGGGGCTGCGGCCGCACCTTCGTCTGCCGAGCTCGAGACACGACGGGAAAGGGGGGCCAGGACTGCGGGGAAGGGGGGCAGGGCTGCGGGAAAGGGGGGCCAGGACTGTAGGATGGGGGAAGCCGGGGGTGCAGCGGTGCTCCACCACCACGATGGGCACTGTCCCACAGGACATGGTGTCCCCTCACCCAGGCAGGGCCATGGGCTGCCGTGGGCACAACCCTGGGGGGCCACGATAGCTCGTGGTCCTGGGCACCCAGCCCCTCCAACCCCCAGGGCTGCCCCCCTCTGCTCAGGGAACCCCGGGACTGGCTCAGGCCACAGTCAGGGACTGGATTCATCCAGCAAGTTCCTGGCAGGGCAGACGCTGCAGCAGATGAAGCAGCATCTGCGCTGCCCACCACACCCCACGGCCCTCCGCGCTGCCCACGGCGCCCACTGCCCACCCCACCGTCCTCTGTGCTGCCCACCCCCCATCTCACTGCTGCCCACCCCACCGTCCTCTGTGCTGCCCGTCCCTGCACCGCCGTGCCCACGGTGCCCATGGCTTTGCCCCCCACACGGGGCCACCTTGGCCAAGGCAGGGCTGGGGGGGCCCCACAGCTGGCCCCCCAAGCTCCCCACACCCCTCAGCTCGGCAGCAGCAGCTCTGGGGACAGGGCTGGGGACAGGGCCGTGGCCACCAGCCGAGCGCAGCCGCCTCGCCAGAGCCACATCTGAGCCCCCGACCGGCTGCGGCTCCCGGAGCCCCCGGGGGACGTTAAACAAACAGCGTGTTGTCACCAGCGCCGGCTGATCGACCCGGCCCCGGGGACCCCCGGCCACAGCAAAGCCCCCCCGGGGAGCACAGGCCGCGCACAGGGGTCGGGGCACACACGGGGACACGGGGACATGTGGGACCTGTGCCCTCCCCACGCGCGGCATCGACCCCCTGCAGCCCCCCAGCCTCCCCCCCAGCACCTGCTCACATGTGCAGACACGTATGTGCACAGACATGTATGTGCACACGCACGTCATGACCTGCGGGTGGATGTGGGGCTACGGTGGGGTGAGCGTTGGGGTCCCCAAGACCCCCAGCAGAGCCCCCACCTCGCACACGGACCCCCCTCCCACCCCACGGCCCAGGGCGCCCGTGGGAACCAGGGGACAGGAAGGTGCCAGGGCAGCCCCGGTTCCCCCCATCCCGCTCGGGGACGCGGCTCTGGCACCCTCGGGGTGCCCCGGGTGCGGCCGAGGTGCTGCTTCAGAAGCCGAGATTTTGGAGGGACCGGTTTGGGAGGTGGATTTGGGGTGCGGGTTTGTGGGAAGGGTTTGGGGTGCGGTTTTGGGGGCGGTTTGGGGGCTCCAGGTCCGGGGCTCGGCCCCAAGCCCCGGCCCAGCCTTGCCGGGGGAGCATCGGGGCGGCCGCGGGAGCCGAGCCCGCATCGGCGTGGGGGGAGCTGCGGCCCCCCCTGCAGACACCCCCCGCCTCGCCCGCGGGATGGGGATGGGGTGGGAAGGGGGATGGGATGGGGATGAGGGTGGGATGGGGACGGAGATGAGGATGGGGACGGTCGGTGCTGCTCCCCCCGCCCGGGGACTCCCCGCCGAGCCCCGGCATTGTCCGGCCTTTGTCCCCGCGGGATGCGGGACACGTTCCGCCCGACCCCCTCGATTCCCCCCGATCCCTCCGATCCCCCCTGCACCCCCGGCCCCCCAATATCCCCCCGATCCCCCCGATCCCGCGGGATGGAGCCGCACCCGCCGCACGATCCAGCGCAGCCAGGGCCGGGGGCACCCCCACCGCGGGGGGGTCTCACATCAGGGCACCCCCGTCAGCGCATCCAACCCCCCCAACCCCATCCAACCCCCATCCCCCCCTCCCCCGGCCCCACCGCGCAGCCCCCCCAGTCCCCCCAGTCCCCGGCG